ACAACTTCCCTTTTACTCGTTTCCATACGTAATTTATATTTTGTGTGCTCACCTATTTACTTTCAGCGAAAGATGATAAATTGAAAATTCTTGATAGAAGTCCTAATGACCAGTGGTAAAATGTGTGCGCAGTATTTGTAAAACATAATTTAATTTGTTTTTTTTTACTTTTTAGCAATTATACAACCTGCATTGATAACATTTTGTCCTATAGTGCCTCCAGTCGATTGCCCAAGTCTTGTCAACAAACCAATATACCAATAATTTCCAAATTACTATGGTCGATTTCAAAGGGAACAACCAACCTTTTCCGTTCCCTGTGATTTACACACAGACAATGGTGGCTGGAAGGATTTGGCGATTTAAATGTCGACTTTTTTTATTTAACTTTGCAACCCTAACTCTTATAAATTCCACATTATTTTGCGAGATTTTGATGGTGAAGAAGTTTATGCTAAATATGCATATTTTGTAGTGCTTTCATCCATTGAGCGTTATAAGCTAATAGTTGGTGGGTATAGTGTATCAGCCGGTTACAGTTTGACATCTCACGAAGGTTATCAATTTTCAATATTTTATGACAATGTTGATGGTGAACGTCGTAAAGACGGTTGGTGGCATTTTAACGGTGTGAGGTACATTGTAGTAAATTTCGTATGTGATAGGGTAATTATTGTTTGTTTCTTTTTTTTAGCAATTTAAATGGCGAATATTTAAAAGGTGTTACCCGACTAGTTACTAGGGTGGAATGGTTTGGGTGGAGGGTGGAAATTTGTTCAAATGATGATACGTGCTGTTGATGATACGTAGAAAATATATATGGGAGCTATATCTAAATCTGAACTGATTTTCACAAATCTTAGAACAGACATAATTCAGTGCGCTAAGCTAAATTTCGTGCAAATTGAATGAAAAATAGGGTCTTTGGTACACCATTTACATAAAACCGGACTAAAATATGTATGGGAGCTATATCAGAATCTGATATAGCTTAGTAAAACTTTGTACATATCATTCTCGACACTTGTCAGTACACTGCCCCAAATTTCGTGCACATCGAACGATATACAGGGACATTGTTGCACCATTTACATTAAATCGGAGTAAAATATACATGGGAGCTATATATAACTCTGAACCGATTTTCACGAAACTTAGCACACATCATTCCAGAGTCAATTCAGTGCGCTATGCCAAATTTCGTGCAAATCAAAAGAAATATATTGACTTTGGTTTACCATTTACATTAAATCGGACGAAAATATATATGGGAGCTATATATACATCTGAACCAATTTTTACCAATTTCAATAGAGGGTCAAAAGAAAGACCTATGGCAATTTTCAACCAATTCGGAATAAAAATGCTACCTGTACTTTGTTTACAATTTAACATTGACCGACGGACGGATATGCATAAATTAATGGTGGGCAAGCATGGGAACTTGTGCCCTTGTTTAAATGTATAAAAAATTTCGTTCTCTGCATTCTCTTTTAGTAAGTCATTTCATATGGCGGTTTCTCATTTGTTCTCTGAGAATTTTTTCGTTGCACACCTCTAGCATAGCATATTTGTTTAACGCCTAAAAGTATGCATTATTTTTATATAACGGCAAACACTATTTTAAAACTGCTTATGCCCTGCCGGACCCATAAGCCGTTTTAAATGGTAAATTGGGTAAATATCCATTTGTGGGTATTTATTTGGATATTTACTCTATTGAATTGCTAATACAACATCTTACACCCTATTTTCGGGTTTCTGTTATCAAATTGATTTAAAATGGGTATAATATTTTAAACAAGTGGGTAAAACTTTTTAACTCCTGGCCCACGTTTTGATATAGCCTCCACATGACCTTGCCTCCAGATTTTTGGTAATTATTGTCTATTAGCCGCATTTTACATCAAATTGCCTATAATTTGGTATAGAGATTTCTCCATGAGTAAGAAATATCCATGCAATGATTTTTTGACGGAGGATCGCATTTTCTGGCATCCCCCTACCCTCTTTTGGGTATTTATCCAATTATTTGGTATAAACTTATTAACTGGCTCACAAATCTCTAATGTCAAAGCAGAAAATGGGGTCTCTGGATCCATGTTTTGATATAGCTCCCATATAACAGTATTGCCTATTAGCCAGTATTGTTATATGGGTACAAACTATGGGTACCAACTATCCATTTAAAAATTATTCGACGAACCACTTGACGCCGGCTGGCAAAATTTGACTCACACGTTTAATATCAATACGAATACTGCTATGAAAAATGGGGTCTCTGGATCCATTTTTTGATATAGCGCACATACCTCCCCATTTAAGGTATTTTTTTTAATCTATTATCCATATTTTATAATCAAATTGGCTATAATTTGGCATAATGAGTTCTCATTTTGTACAAAATTGGTGTACCCTTCACCATACTGTTGTACAGGGTATTAAGTCTTTGTGCATATGTTTGTAACAGGCAAAACGAATCGAGATAGGCCCATGGTTCCTTTTCAGAATATGCATAGAATCACTTTCTGAGTTGATTTATTCATGTCCGTCCATGTATTTTTTGGGCAAAGTACAGATCGCATTTATGATCCGATTTGGACGAAATTTGGCACAGGTCACTTATTTAGTTAAAGGACGAACCCAATCGAAAATGGAGAAAATCGGTTCAGATTTACATATAGCTCTCTGTCAATGTTTGTCGGCTTGTGACAAAATTTCGCACATTTTACTGAATTAGGTTCGGATTGATGTAAGATTTGGGTACAAATAAATGCCACTTGGGTATTAACCCGGTAAATACCATCTAACTAAGTACATACCCATGAAGAACAACTTATCACTTAAGAATGGTTCTCTCACCGGCGAGCGGCTTGTGATTCCGTCATCCTTTATCCTAATATATTTTTAATTGTAAATGCAGTTTGATAAATAACTGTGTCGATGAGAAATAAATGTGTCAGTGACTGTATATGTCACCGGCCTAATCGACATCACCATACACATTAATTGATGCATTTTTCCAAATTATTATTCAAGTAAATGTTTTTTACTAATGGAAAATTGAAATTTTATTGTTTGCATTTCACTGGCATTGTCACTTGGAGTATCAAAATTTATTTATTTTAAATACTTGTATTTCATCATTTGTCGGAGTCAGTTAAATTCGTCCCAATTTTGCAAAAGCCTAAATGCATTTAAAAAAGCATATTTTTGCCAGTATCGTGGCATTGCTGACCTGCAGCCCATATGGCCAGGGGAGATCCTCTTTCAAATTTACCAACATTAAATGTTACGATCATGATCCAGCTTTTGCACGTTTTGAAATATGTAATTTGAAAGTTGTACGACGTGGTGTCGTGTCAATGAATATTCGAGTGGGTTTATATCAGTCACCCGTGCCAAATGCAAGTGTAAGAAGAAAATATAAATCCAGTACAGTGTCGCTCAAAACATTTTCCTTTAATTTTATATTTATGAATAAGGAAAACAATATTTTATTTACAATAGTTTTGTGTGACACTGTTCAAATGTATTTACGCAATATTTTTTTGGAAAACCAAATAATTAATATCATTATAGCTTAACCTAGCCCTATATAAACGTGCCAATGGCTATCGTCCATTTCTTTACAATATCAGCCAGGATGCGTGTTCCTTTTTTGCCAATCGTAAACGTTATCCGGTTTTGAAAGTTTTATTCGATTTATTCTTAGACAAATCGAATTTGAATCACACTTGCCCCTATAGTGTACGTTAAACATAAATACCTCCATATATACAGTCAACTATAATAACAAAAACATTTTTTGTTTCTTTGCAGGATGCAATTATTGTAAAGGATTTCGTATTGGAAGAAAAATTGTTTCATTATTTCCCAATACCGGAGGGTGAATATCTTTTCAAAATGAAAGTTTTCGCTTACAATGATCTAAAGGCTACCGTAGAAGTTTTCTTTTATCGCAAAGATTGAATTTTAATAATTCTATTACTCAGATTGAATCAATTTAATTTCATATCGTATCTAACAATTACATTTTGAAAAATGTTCAGTTAAATATATGACATAAAGAAAAGAATTTCATTTTAAGCGTATTCTGTCCATGTTATATAAACAAAGTACAGTCGTTAAAAACAATGTACACAAGTATTATTCAATTGGCACAGCTCATCTGTTAGTCACAAGGACGAATTATTCTAAAATCTGTACGAATTGGTTTTGATTAAAATATATAATAATATATTATGTTGGTAAAAATAAATCCATTATATTTATATAGGACTTAATTTAACATACTTCTAAGTGTCCGATTCAGCCAAATATGTACCGTTTTGTTGTATGATTTGTTGCCATTTTAAAGGTAACTTCATAAACTCTAGTAGTCGATTTTCACAATCCTCCCTTGATGCCAATTTGTATACCCTTCACCACACTATGGTACAACAGGCAAAAGAAATCGATATAGACCCATGGTTTCTTTTGAGAATATCCATAGAATCACATTCTGAGTCGAATTATGCATGTCCGTCCGTCCATGTTTTTTTTGTGGGCAACGTACAGGTCGCATTTATGATCCGAATTGGATGAAATTTGGCACAGTCCATTGGTTTGGCCCAAGGACGAACTCTATTGAAATTGGAGAAAATCGGTTCAGATTTAGATATAGCTCCCATATATATTTTCGTCCGATTTCAGGAAAATGGTGCACCAAAGTCCCTGAGAATCATTAGATTTACACGAATTTTGGCATAGCGTACTGAATCAAGTTGATAATGATGTGTGCTAAAGTTCGGGAAAATCGGTTCAGATTTAGATATAGCTCCCATATATAGTTTCGCCCGAATTTAGGTAAATGGTGCGCCAAAATCCCTGAAAATCATTAGATTTGCACGAATTTTGGCACAGCGTACTGAATTAAGTTTAGAACGACGTGTGATAAGTTTCGTGAAAATCGGTTTCGATTTAGATATAGCTCACATATATAGTTTCGCCCAATTTTAGGTAAATGTTCCGTCAAAGTTTCTGCAAATCTTTTGATTTGCACGAATTTTGGTATAGCGTACTGAAATAAGTCTAGAATGATGTGTCTTAAGTTTCGTGAAAATCGGTTCAGATTTAGATATATCTCCCATATATAGTTTCGTCCGATTTTAAGTAAATGGTGTACCAAAGTCCCTGAAAATCATTAGATTTGCACGTACTTTCGCATAGCGTACTGTATCGGTTCAGATTTAGATGTAGCTCCCTTTTATAGTTTCATACGATTTTAGGTAAATGCTGCGCCAAAGTGACTGCAAATCTTTTGATTTGCACGAATTTTGGCATAGCGTACTTAATAAAGTCTAGAATAATATATGCAAAGTTTCGTGAAAATCGGTTCAGATTTATATAGCTCCCATATATATTTTCGTCCCATTTTATGTAAATGCTGCACCAAATCCCCCTATATCTTTCGATTTTGGAATAGCGTATTGAATTACGTCTAAAATGATGTGTGCAAAGTTTCGTGAAAATCGGATCAGATTTACAAACACCTCCTATATATATTTTCCTCCGATTTTAAGTAAATTTTGCACTAAAGACCCCTAGCTAGGCCGATTGACACAACGTACTGAAGTTAATATATATTAATCTCTGGCAAGTTTCCTTGAAATCGGTTCAGATATAGATACAGCATAGCTTCCATATATAATTTCGACTTATTCATGTTTATTGTAAACCAATTAATCAATGGGTGTTTGATTGAGATTAAATTTTAAACTGTGCAGCATACCGAATAGCGTGTGTCAAGTTTGCTTTAAATTTGGCATAGGTTGCAGAATGACATGTGTAGGGATTGATGTTAGTCGGTTTAGATATAGATAAAGATCACATATTTAAGTTCTTTCAATTTCATGTCAATTTTTCTTCGAAAAGGCGACGTCTTTTAAGATACATATGTAGAATATACCCAAAGTGGTGAAGGGTATCGTATAGTCGGCCCAGTCCGACTTTACTACTTTTCTTACTGGTTTATTATTAAAGAAATTTTGCAATGCAAGAAGTCACTGTAGATATGTGTGGCCTAGCGCTGTCCTGATGGAACACGACACCACTCCTGTTCTGGCCGCTTCTGCTAACATGCCGGTCAACTTTGATTATTTCTCCGATTTGATTTGACATTTTCGACGACCGTTGTGTCCCTTCCAACGAGCATAAATCAGAAATTGTTTGATCGATACTTTACGAAAAATCTATCAGTACAGCCATCTGCCGAAAAAATAATGGATTTCTTTTGTATTTCTTACGGTGACGGTGATGTAAAAAAATCCGCATCAAATTATAATCAATTCAGACGTCCCCAATATGCCGAAATGGGAGCTAGATTCCATTTGGTAAGTTGTGCACTAATTCGTCCTAATCGGACAAACTTTAGATATTTGGTACAACATTAGGTGAAATTGGATGAAAATATGTATATAGCTATATATAAACCTGAAACGACTTCAATCAAATACGCTTTTCAATATTTCATATAAAGCGAACAGACATAGGCTCCTCCGTTTGCACCTTAAGTATGTGGCAGCTTCATCTACATCTGAGCCATATTCAACAACAAAATATCGTGCAAATAGAAAAGGATTTATGGTGCACCATTTACATAAAATGGGATTAGAGTATATATGTGAGCTATATTAAAATCTGAACCTATTTCAACAAAATTTCACGTACATCAAACTGGACTTAATTAAGTATTCTGTGCAAAATTTTGTCTCAATTGGACAAATATTGGCAGTATGGTACTGCATTTACATAAAATCGGACGAAACTATATATGGGAGCTATATCTAAATCTGAACCGATTCCAACAAAACTTCGCATACATCAATCAGGACCGAATTCAGTACTATGAGCACAATTTTATCTCAATCGGTCAAATATTGGGAGTTTGGTGCACTATTTACATATAATCGGACGAAAATATATACGGGGGCTACCCCCGATTACAACAAAACTTTGTCTCAATCGGGCACATATTGGGAGTTTTATGTACCATTTATATTAAATCAGACGAATATACATGTGGGAGCTATATCTAAATCTAAACCGATTTTTTCAATTTCAATAGGGTTCGTCCCTAGGCCAAGTAACTTTGCTAACAAAATTACATGGGCGGACGAACATGCATTAGTCGTTTATGCATATTCTCAAAAGGAACCATGACACAAAACCAGTAAGGAAAGTAGTAAAGTCAGACAGGGCCGACTATATGATACCCTTCACAACTTTGAGTATATTCAAGAGACAAATCCTAACAGACGTCGAATTTTTGAAGGACCATTAACATGAAAATGCGTCCATAAATGTCATTCTGCAACCTATACTAAATTTTTCATTTGGTCAGATATAAGGTTGCTTATTACAATATGACAAAATTATGTAAATAAATTTAAAACAAATTTATTGAAATCTAAACCGATTTCATCGAAATTTGTCAAAAGTTAAGTTATACTAATTTCAGTATGTTTTGTGCATATCGGCCACATTTTGAGTTCTTGGTGCATCATGTACTTAAAATCGGAAGAAAATATATATAGGAGCTCTCTCCAAATCTGAACCGATTTCAAAACATTCCACACGCTAGTGCACAATTTTGTGTCAATCGGCCTACCTTTGGGTCTTTGGTGAACCATATACTTAAAATCGGACGAAACTATATATGGGTACTATATCTAAATCGGAACGGATTTTTACAATACTTAGCACACGGTACGCTGTACTAAATTCAGTACATTGTGCAAAATTTTTTAGCAAACGGCCTAATTTTGGGTCTTTGGTGCACCCTTTACTTAAAATCTGACGAAACTATATATAAGAGCTATATCTAAATCTAATCCGATTTCAACTAAACTTGCCACACGTTATGTTATAGTAACTTCAATACATAGTTCAAAATTGTGTTCCAATTGGACTCACCTTGTATATGTATGTAGAAGCTATATCAACATCTGTACCGATGCCAATGAGACTTGCCAGAGATTAAATTATATACTAACTACAGTTCATTGTACAAATGCAAATACAAATTGTGTGGCAATCGGAAAAACTTTGGATCTTTAGTGCACAATTTACATAAAATCGACAGACAAAATATATAGGAACTATATCTAAAAGTGAACCGGTTCTGATGAAACTTAACACACACCATTCTAGACCTAATTCAGTACACTATACCAAATTTCGGGCAAATCGAATGATATATAGTGACTTTGGTACACAATTTCCATTAAATCGGACGAAAATATATATGGGAGCATATCTAAATCTGGACCGATTCTCAGGAAACTTAACACACATCATTCTAGACCTAATTCATTACGCTGTGCCAAATTTCATGCAAATCAAAAGATATATAGGGACTTTGGATCGCCATTTACATAAATCGGATGAAAGTATATACAGTATCTATATCTAAATCTGGGCTGATTTTCAGGAAACATAACACACATCATTCTAGACCTGCAAATCGAAAGATATATAGGGACTTTGGTACACCATTTACATTAAATCAGACGGGAGCTATATCTAAATCTGAACCGATTTCAATAGGGTTCGTCCTTGGGCCAAATAAGTGACCTATGTCAAATTTCATCCAATTCGGATCGACCAGTATAATTTAACATGGACAGCCAGACGGACGAACGGACATGCATAAATCGACTTTAAAAGTCATTCTATGCATATTCTCAAAAGGAACCATGTGTCTATCTCGTTTCCTTTTGCCTGTTACAAACATATGTACAAAGACATAATACCCTGTACCAAAGTGAAGGGTATAAACATAATACAGTGTACCACAGATCACAGATCTTGGGGTTGAGGGTAACAATATATCACGATGATTATTAGTGGCAATGATATCATCGACATTAACACGTACATTTTGTCGATACATTAGATTAATTGTTTTGTAAATCGAAAATTAATATTGTATTATTTTAAGTTAATGGACAATATCACTGACATTATCGCTTAGAGTTGGAAAATCGATTTATATTGAATTCGTTTACTTTAAATTTCGACTTTTATGGGGACATGCAGAACAAATCAATTAAGTATCTTAATGTATATAAGAGTGAGTTACTGACAAATCATCGCCCAGACGAAGCGGCTCAAGTTAGATGCTTGACATTTTGAGTGTGGGTTGGTGTTTTGTAGACAAGGGTATGGAAACATTAGAGTTAAGGCATTTACAATTAAAAGAAGGTCTACGGCGTCAATACTGGCCAAACGTTTCCCCTTAACTGTCAAAAACTATATATAGAATAAATAGCAAACATATACAAAACTATAACGGCAATCTGAAAACTAATTGACAATTTGTTTAAAAATGAAATACCCGTATAACTGAGCGGAAACCACTAAATTTCTATGCCTAATCTAAAATTGTTCATGTTATATACTGATTTCAATATAAAAATCAATAGGGTAGCTGGACATGAACAAAATTATATTGTAATTAAGAATCCTTCAAGAAGGGACAAATAAGATAATGTAAAAACTTTGGAGTAATAACAAAACATGATATTCTATTGAAAAAAAACATTTGGTGGAATGAGTTCTACAAATTATAAACTGTTATGTGCTTGGGCCTGCATTGGTGTACCTGTTAATACATTTTATTGACATAAACTTAGTGGCAAATGTTTTTTACCAACCTTATATTGTTGCAATATTGATAAGGCAAAACAACGTTTGCCGGATGAGCTAGTATATTGGTACTTCCGCAAAAAGATAAACAAAAGTCGAAGAATTTGTTTCTTTAATTGTGCTTAAATACGTAAAGTAAAGGCAAAAAATACAAAGAAAGACCACATTTGTCATTTTTATACCCTCCACCATAGTATGGAGGGTATATTAATTTTGTCATTCCGTTTGTAACTCATCGAAATATTCATTTCCAACCCTATATACTATATATATTCTTGATCAGGGTAAAATTCTAAGATCTAGCCATGTCCGTCCGTCTGTTGTATTCACGCTACCTTCTAAAGGAATTGAGATAGGGTGCTGAAATTTTGCATAGGTTTGTCTTTTGTCTGCAGGCAGGTCAAGTTCGAAGATGGGATATATCGTTCCACGTTTAGGCATAGCTCCCATATAATAGTACCTCCCAATTTTCGGTATTTTGGGGTTCTTTAGCGTATTTTTCAACGGAATACGCTGAAATTTGATACATTGAGTTCTTATTGGGTACTAAATTCCTCCACAAAAAATTAGAAATATAGGTCCACTTTTTCTGGCAGCCCCATATAACGGTACCTCCTAATTTTCAGTATTTTGATCGTGTTTTTCCACCGATTTGGCTGTAATTTATTATTTTGAGTTCTTAATAGGTACCAAATCTCTCCACAAAAAATTATAAATATAGGTCAATTTTTTCGGATAGCCCCCATATAACGGTACCCACAATTTTCGGTATTTTAGGGTTCTTGAGCGTGTTTTTCCACCGAATTCGCTGCAATTTGGTATTGTGTAGTCGTATATGGTAATAAATCTCCATACCAACAATTTTTTATATTCGCCTATTTATACCCTTCACCACACTGTGGTACAGGGTATTATGTCTTTGTGCATATGTTTGTAACAGGCAAAAATACTCGAGATAGACACATGGTTCCTTTTGAGAATATGCATAGAATCACTTTCTGAGTCGATTTATGCATGTCCGTCTGTCCATGTTAAATTGTAAACAAAGTACAGGTCGCATTTATGATCCGAATTGGATGAAATTTGGCACAGCGCATTTGTTTGGCCCAAGGACGAACCCTATTAATATTGGGAAAAATCGGTTCAGATTTAGATATAGCTCCCATATATATTTTCGTCCGATTTAAAGTCAATGGTGCACCAAAGTCCCTATACATCTTTCGATTTGCACGATGTTTGGCACAGCGTAATCAATAAGGTCTAGATTGATGTGTGCAAAGTTTCGCGAAAATCGGTTCCGATTTGGATATAGCCTCCATATATATCTTCGTCCGATTTAAGGTAAATTGTGTACCAAAGTCCCTATATATCTTTCGATTTGCACGAAATTTGGCACAGCGTACTAAATTATGTCTACAATGATGTATGCAAAGTTTCGTGAAAATCGGTTCTGATTTAGATGTAGCTCCCATATATATCTTCGTCCGAAATTTGGCACATCGTACTAAATTATGTCTACAAAGATGTATGCAAAGTTTCGTGAAAATCGGTTCGGATTTAGATATAGCTCCCATATATATATTCGTCCGATTTAAAGTAAATTGAGTACCAAAGACCCTATATATCTTTCGATTTGCACGAATTTTGGTGTAGGGTACTGAATTAAGTCTAAAATGATATTGCTAAGCTTCGTGAAAAGATCCATAGCTAGGCCGATTGACACAACGTACTGATGTAATAGAAATTTGTCTCTGGCAAGTTTCCCTGAAATCGGTTCAGATATAAATATATAACAAAAACGCGTCGTCTGTTAGGATACATACGTAGAATATACCCAAAGTGGTGAAGGGTATCATATAGTCGGCCTAGTCCGACTTTACTACTTTCCTTACTGGTTTATATTAAAATAGTTATTGTTTTTGCAAAATAGTCAGACTTAATCCCAATTTGTTGTTTTTATAAAAAACAACTATTTATTAGTGGGGAATGTATGGCATTGTCCGCCGAGGGGTAAGGCAGGGAAGACCCGCATTTAGCCCTAGCCCCTGTGTGGGAGGAACCAGAAGGGGGGGGCCGATATTCCCCATGTTCGAAATTGAACTAATTTTGGAAGAAATAATAAGATGGGGAAAGTTTGGGTGAAATCAAAATTTTTTGAAACAAATTAGGTACAAAGAAACATGGCGTCTAGGACCAATATTTAGAACCATAATCGGTTTGTTGAAATGTCGGTATAGGTACACTTTTTGGTATGTTCCTTATATTTTTATTTCGAGTACCTGTAATTATATATATATGGTGGAGGGTATCCAAAGTTTGACCCGGCCGAACTTAACGCTTTCCACTTGTTTCTTCTTGATCTTATTTAACTTGATACTTATTTAACGTCTATAAATCCAGACACTGCAGAAATAAAAACAGCAAAATCAAAAATGTCGCGTGAGTGACCGAGAAAAATCCTTCGGAAATAAAGGATATGCCAAAATTTTGAAAGTGCAATAATAATGCTTGGTATGTCTTATTTATGTAAAGAATATTAAAAGTTCAAAATATATATATATATATATATATATACAGCAGTGATCTCATCAACATTACCATATATGCGTATCGATAAATATACGATATATATATATATATATATATCGTATATTTATATATATACACATATATTAGATTAATTGTTTTACTAATCGAAAATTAATACTTTACTATTTGTATTTAATGACAGTCCGAATAACATTGTCGCTCAGAGTTGATTGAATTCGCCACTTCAACGGTAGATGGTGTTCGCTTAAACTTGCCCAATTTTACAAATATGAATTCGAAACCGCATATTCTTATTAGCCTGATCGGATTGCTCGTCTGCAGCCATTATGGACTCGGAAAATCTTCTTTTAAATTTACCAACATGAAATGTTACGATCATGATCCAGCTTTTGCACGTTTTGAAATATGTAAATTGAAAGTTGTACGACGTGGTGTGGTGTCATTAAATGTTCGGGTTGGCTTATATCAGACACCCGTGACAAATACAAGTGTAAGAAAAAAAACGAGATGCAATGTTTCATAAAATATTTGCAAACGTTGTCTTCTTAACAACACAGTCGTATTGAAAATTTCTGTTTGTACTGCAAACAAAAGACCCAGCTTGAAAATATCTTTCTTTTGTACTACTAATTATTTATTTTTATTGTAGATTAACATAGCCGTATATAAACGTGCCAATGGCTATCGACCCTTTCTTTACAATATCAGCGAGGATGCCTGTGCATTTTTAGCCAATCGTAAACGTTATCCAGTTTTAAAAGTTTTATTGGATGTTCTCTTAGCCAAATCAAATTTGAATCACACCTGTCCTTTTACTGTAAGTACTTTTTCCATTGCAATAATTACAAATAAACAATTTTTATGACATTTCAGGATGCAATTGTTGTCAATGATATGGTATTGGAAGATAAGTCGTTTAATTTTTTACCAGTACCGGAAGGTGAATATCTTTTCAAAATGAAAGTTTTCGCCTACAATGATTTAAAGGCTACCATTGAAGTTTATGTTTATCGCAGAGAATGATTATTTTGAGTGTTTTATTAATTTAACTTTATATCGTCCTCATTTAATGTTATTTCTGTTTTAACCCTTTTAGTGACAAAAAAAAATTGTCGGAATAAAAATCTAAAATTTTGTATTTAAAATCATATAAAGGCATAGATTTTAGAAAAAAACGATTTTTATTTTAACCCTCGGACAGTTTCCCCTGTCTTTCAGCAAAAACAAAAACATTAATAGTAACGGTACGTAGGACACCCGAAAAATTGCGAAGAAAGGGAGTATATTTAAATGTCGAATATATTCGACAATAACACTGAAAGGGTTAAAAAACCAGTAAGGAAAGCAGTAAAGTCGGACTGGGCCGACTATATGATACCCTTCACAACTTTGGGTATATTGTACATATGTATCCTAACAATATCATGTCTATGTTCCCTCTTTCTCCAAACTATCCTAACTTTAATTTCATTCGAGCAGATTTAGAGCCGTCTGCGTAACATGGGGAAAATTTATGGAAAACTATTGATAGCAAAATTCATGCACGCTATTCGGTACGCCGCGTTGTTAAAAATATAATCTATATGTGGGAGCTAAATCTAAATCTGAACCGAAAATTAACACACATCTTTCTAGACTTAATTCAGTACGCTATGCCAAATTTTATGCAAATCGATGGATATATATAGAAACCTTGGTGCACCATTTGCATAAAATTTGACGAAAATATATATGGGAGATATGTCGAAATCTAAACCGATTTTCCCGAAACTCACCATTCATCATTGTGGACTAAATTCAGTACACAATGTCAAATTTTGTGCAAATCGAAGGATACAAAGGGACTTTGGTGCCCTATTTACCAAAAATCGGACGAAAATATATATGGGAGCTATATCTAAATCTGAACCGAGTTCCACGAAATTTAACAGATTTCGTTTTAGACTTAATTCAGTACGCTGTGCCAACTTTCGTGCAAATCGAAGGATATATAGGGACGTTGGTGCATCATTTACATAAAATCGGACGAACATATATATGGGAGCTATATCGAAATATCGACCGATTTTCCCGAAACTCACCACTCATCATTCTAGAGCCAATTTAGTACACTAAGCCAAATTTTGTGCAAATCGAAGCATACAAAGGGACTTTGGTGCACTATTTACCTACAATCGGACGAACATATATATGGGAGCTATATCCAAATCTGAACCGATTTTCAGGAAACCTAACACACATCATACTAGACCTAATTCATTACCTTGTGCCAAATTTCGTGCAAATCAAAAGATATATAGGCACTTTGGTACGCGATTTACCTTAAATCGGACGAAAATATATATGGGAGCTATATCCAAATCTGAACCGATTTTCAGGAAACTTGACACACATAATTCTAGACCTAATTCATTACGCTGTGTCAAATTTCGTACAAATCGAAAGATATATAGGGACCGTTTACATTAAATCGGATAAAATATATATATGGGAGCTATATCAAATTTTGAACAAATTTTTCCCAATTTCAATAGGGTTCGTCCTTGGGCCAAATAAGTGACCTGTGCGAAATTTCATCCAATTCGGATTATAAATGCGACCTGTGCTTTGGTTACAATTTTACATCGACAGACGAACGGACGGACGGACATGCAGAAAACGACTCAGAAAGTGATTCTATGCATATTTTCAAAAGGAACCATGTGTCTATCTCGAGTATTTTTGCCTGTTACAAACATATGCACAAAGACATAATACTCTGTACTGAAGGGTATAATTAGCACAAAAAGTTAAATTCTGTTAGTATTCATCTGTTGAATATATCCGAAGTTTATTATTATTTATTAGTTCATTAGAAAACAAATTGGTGCAAATTTTTGAACAAAATTCAAATAAATACCTTACAGTTATAAATCATAAAAAATGTTAAATAGCCACAACAACGTTGGCTGGGTCATGTTGTGAGAATGGATGAGGATGCCTCAGCACAAAAGGCACATAAAAGCGAGATAACTGATTGTTTGCGTAGGCAATAAAAAGAAAAGAAAACAAATGAAAATAAAACAAAAGAATTTTAGTTTTTCCCATTAAATACAAATTTAATTCTTTATTAAATATTGTTTGGATAAACAATATTTTACCTTTTATAATAATAAGTTGAAAGGTGGACGAATATCCAATATGGCTGTGTTGTGGACGAAAATTCAAAAAAACAAGTGACCGCTTGTTGTTGCAAAGTTGCGCTCTTCTTTGTTTACTATTTAAAATTTCACATCAGTCACTTTGTGCGAAAGCACAACGTTGCATTTTTGCTATTGATGCACAAATTCTAACGACAGGAAAATTTGAACTTAGTTTTAAAAGTTGGAACATAATTCCTAATTAAACACTGATTGTTCACGCAAAAAGGTAAGGTTACGAATTAGATGGAAATATCAAGTGGAAGAGAACATGTCGAAACATGGTCTTTCAAATTGGAAGAGCTGTGCAAGACAGACTCGGTCGGAAATCGTTGTTAAGCTCGGCTTGTGGAACAAATGCTCTGTCACAAGCTAGCTAAGTAACGCTGGCACTACGAGTATGAGATTTATTGAAAACAGAAACAGAATTAGCTGCGGACATAACAGGCATTAATCACGAATTAATACATAGATTTAAAATCTTATTAGACGCGATTTCCAGTGGACACAAAAAATGACTATAACAATGCATAATTACATACGACACATATTTTAATACGACAATTTCATTTACATAAAATGATTATTTATAATGTCATATAATGATTATTTATTTATGATTTATGAAAATTGGGTTTTATTTCATATGTGTTTGTCTTATTTATTTTTTTTAAATAAATAAATATTTTTTAGACACTGTCTTTCGAAACAATTAACGTCCAAAAATATTTCAAATCGACCACTGTGCAGCGTTTGCCTGGTTTAAATATGTATTGTATATTTATCAACCACCACCACGTGAAAGTGCACATATAAACTCGCTTCTGCATGTCAGAGTATATTAGCTAATTATACCCTTCACCACACTGTGGTACAGGGTATTATGTCTTTGTGTACATATTTGTAACAGGCAAAAGAAAACGAGATAGACACATGGTTCCTTTTAAGAATATGCATAGAATCACAAGTCGATTTATGCATGTCCGTCCGTCTGTCTGTCTGTCCATGTTAAATTGCAAACAAAGTACAGGTCGCATTTATGATCCGAATTGGATGAAATTTGGCATAGGTCACTTATTTGGCCCAAGGACGAACCCTATCGGTTCAGATTTAGATATAGCTCCCATATATATTTTCGTCCGATTTAATGTAAATGGTGTACTAAAGCCCCTATATGTATTTCTATTTGCACGAAATTTGAATTGGATCTAGAATGATGTGTGTTAAGTTTCCTGAAAATCGATCCAGATTTAGATATAGCTCCCATATATATATTCGTCCGAGTTAATGTAAATGGTGTACTAAAGCCCCTATTTATCTTTCGATTTGCACGAAATTTGCCACAGCGTAATGAATTAGGTCTAGAATGATGTGTGTTAAGTTTCCTGAAAATCGGTCCAGATTTAGATATAGCTCCCATATGTAGTTTCGTCTGATTTCATGTAAGTTTTGCACTAAAGATCCAAAGTTTGTCCGATTGGCGCACAATTTTGTACAATGTACTGAAATTAATATAAATTAATCTCTGACAAGTGTCGTTGAAATCGGTTCAGATTGAGATATAGGTCCCACATATATATTTAAGTCCGATTTGAGGTAAATGGTGCACCAAAGTCCCAAAGTCCCCACTAGAATGATGTGTGCTAAGTTTCGTGAAAATCCGATCAGATTTAGATAAATCTGCCATATATTTTCTTACGATTTGATGTAAATGGGGCACGCCAATTGTCACAAAACCTTGCACAACATACCGTAGTTTGAGTAGTCTAACTTGTGCCAAGTTTTGTTTAAATTGGTTCAGATTTGGATTCTTGTTTAATATGCCCACAGTGGTGAAGGGTATCATATAGTCGGCCCGTCCGACTTTACTACTTTCCTTACTGTTTTTTATATTTATTTATAACTTTTATACCCCCCACCATAGTATGGAGGGTATATTCATTTTGTCATTCCGTTTGTAACTCATCGAAATTTTCCTTTTCGACCTTATAAAGTATATATACTTGATCAGGGTAAAATTCTAAGACGATCTAGCCATTTCCGTCCGTCTGTTGTAATCACGCTACATTCAGAAGGAATTGAGATAGGGTGCTGAGATTTTGCATAGGTTTGTCTTTTGTCTGCAGGCAGGTCAAGTTCGAAGAAGGGATATATAGGCATAGCTGCCATATAACAGTACCTTCCAATTTTCGGTATTTTGGGGTTCTTGAACGCGTTTTTCAACCGAATACGCTGAAATTTGGTACATTGAGTTCTTATTGGGTACTAAATGTCTCCACAAAAAATTATAAATATAGGTTCGCTTTTTCTGGTAGACTTCATATAACGGTACATCCTAATTTTCAGTATTTTGGGGATTTTGATGGTATATTTTCACCGAATTGGCTGTAATTTAGTATTTTGAGTTCTTAATAGGTACCAAATCTCTCCACAAGAAATTATTAATATAGGTCCATTTTTCGGATAGCCCCCATATAAGGGTACCCCCAGTTGTCGGTATTTTGAGGTTCTTGAGCGCGTTTTTCAACCGAATTCGCTGCAATTTGGTATTTTGTAGTCGTATATGGTAACAAATCTCCCTACCAAACATTTTTAATATTCGCCCCCTTTTTGGGGTCGTCCACATATAACCCCCTTTTTATATTAAAATAGTTATATGGTTTGTTCCGTTTTTGGGTTTTTTCTAAGACTCTGTTGTAATCATTTCACCTGCGGAGGATAGCGAGATAAGAATTAGATTGTATGGTTCGATAATGAACTATATCCGCATTTAGACCTAGCCCCTGTGTGGAGGTTTCAGAGGGAGTGGACCAATATTAACCATCTTCGAATTTGAACTAAGTT